TTCAGTAGCAGTTGGTTTTTGCTGTATTTCATTTTGTTTTTTTCTTTCGTGGTTTTGTACTTAAATCAGGCTGTTTTCTCATTTGAATTGTTAAGCATTTGTCATTTCGGGGCCTTTCATATCTGACTATGCGGTATGGGTTTTGCTCATTGTTAAAGGCCTTACAGCAACCTATAGTTGTTAACTTCTATGTCATTTGGTCTCTGGTGGAAAGGTTGGGAACAAACCCTCTATATGGTGTTTATACCTGTATAGAGGAATAACCCTTCTAAAGAAAGATAATTATCCCTCTATAGAGGGATATAATTGTTTATATAAAAAAGAAGATGTGGTATGATTGCAAATGAGACAACTCTCCACAAGAGTCCAAATGACACAGAAATTAACAACTATAGGTCACTGTTAGGTCTTCAACAATGAGCAAAGTCCATACCGCATAGTTAGCTATAAAAGGCCCCGAATTGACAAATGTAAAACAATTCAAACAAGTAAACAAATGGCCTTATTTATATATACAAAATAATGAACGAAAAAAACAAATATGTAACACAGCAACAAACAATAACCACTGAATTACAGGCCTGGACTTAAGACAGGCACATACAGAATGTGGCGGGGTTAAAATAGTTGGAAGGAGCCAACCCTCTCCTAACCTGGGACAGTGGTGTAACAGTACAACATAAGAACAAACAATAAAAAACAGTTGAAAAAGGCTCATCAGATGGATACAAATAGAAAAACATCTAACAAAAACACAGAGTTGACGTGGACGGGTACTTATACATCCCAACAACAAAGAGACATTAAGTCCAGATCTGAGAGTACTTGCAGTTACTGACAGCTAGCTCAAAGCCAATAACAACTAATAAAAAAAAACATCCATCTAAGACTAAATTATCAATCAGTTCACATCCAACATCCAATGGATTTAGTGTAAAGACGTCAAAAACAGTCAGAGAAAAACATGACCTTGGCAATACCCAGATACAGGATTATTATTATTATGAGACGGATTAAAAGCAAAACATGGCAAATGTGCATTTTCTACTTATTATGGCAGTAACCTGCAACATTTAATGCACCAATTGTTGTACTTAATGTAATATGCACATGTCTAGTTTACTGCTAAACTGAATGAATATACAATCTATTGTTCATGTTAATTGAAAGCTGTGATGATCAGGTAAATTCCACTTAGTTATGCCTCAATGAACAGATTTCTACATTTTTTTTTAACAATTTTAGTTTCAATCACTGTGATAAATCCTTTCAATCTGATAAATCTGCTTCAGGGCAGTTGTAACTCATTTATAGAAACTCTTTGTTTTGAATTATAGGTTAGATAATACTTGGTCGTAGCCGAGGGTTTTATATATTCATAAAACATGACCAAGTATTGTCTGACCAATTTAGAACATACTCAGACCTTCGAGTGACATAACAAATTTGGCTGCTCTTTGTAATAATCAAACTTTGATATTAGCTCACTTTGAGTGTTAACATGTTTAGAAAAAGGAAATGGTCATTTCAACAGATGGAATGAAAGAGCAATGAGATAGTTTTGTGATTACAAAAAAGAATAAATTATTGAAAAATGGAGATTGCTTCTGCTTCAGGTACAATTTAATCTTATATATCTAAAATTCCTTCATTTTAAAATGCACAAAATGTTGTATAAATCAGCTTTTCTAAAATTGTATAATTTTCAATATGGGCAAAACTTCAATAAATTTTAATTTTCAATCGTTTCAACTTCAGATGCTTACTCTTTTTTAAAGATGAATGTATTGGTTTTTTTTTCTTCTCAAAAACTTCCTTTGATTTTTGTCGAGCCTTCGACTTTAGTCGAAAAAGCGAGACATAGCGATCCTACATTCCGTCGGCGTCGTCGTCGGCGGCAACCACAAATATTCACTCTGTGGTTAAAGTTTTTGAAATTTTAATAACTTTCTTAAACTATCCTGGATTTCTACCAAACTTGGACAGAAGCTTGTTTATGATCATAAGATAGTTTCAAGAAGTAAATTTTGTAAAAATAAAATTCCATTTTTTCCGTATTTACTTATATATGGACTTAGTTTTTCTGCCGGTAAATATTACATTCACTCTGTGGTTAAAGTTTTTAAAATTTTAATAACTTTCTTAAACTATCCTGGGTTTGTACCAAACTTGGACAGAAGCTTGTTTATGATCATAAGATAGTATCTAGAAGTAAATTTTGTAAAAAAATAAATCCATTTTTTCCTTATTTTACTTTTAAATGGACTTAGATTTTCGGCCAGGAAACAACACATTCACTCTGTGGTTAAAGTTTTTAAAATTTTAATAACTTTCTTATACTATTTTGGATTTGTACCAAACTTGGACAGAAGCTTGTTTATGATCAAAAGCTAGTATCTAGAAGGAAATTTTGTAAAAAAATAAATCTATTTTTTCAGTATTTTACTTTTAAATGGACTTAGATTTTCTGCCAGGAAACAACATATTCACTTTGTGGTTAAAGTTTTTAAAATTTTAATAACTTTCTTATACTATTTTGGATTTGTACCAAACTTGGACAGAAGCTTGTTTATGATCAAATGCTAGTATCTAGAAGGAAATTTTGTTTTCTTCCAGTTAACATTACATTCAGTCTGCAGTTAAAGTTTTTAAACATTTATTAGATTCATAAACTATCCTGGAATTTTACCAAACTTGGACAGAAGCTTCTTACAATCAAAAGATAGTATCAAGAGGAATATTTTTATTGATTTACTTCCTCATTTTTGTTGAGCCTGCGATTAACAGAAAAAGTAGGCGAGACACTGGGTTCCGTGGAACCCTTACGAATTTTTTTTATCAACAGGCATTGTTTCTGAAAACATTGAATTGAGGTCTGGTATAAAATATGGGTTAAGGTTCATCTATACACTTCAACAAAAATGGCTGTGTTTACACCATGAAATTTTCTCTGAATGCAGACAAAACTGTGTAATTCTAATAGTTTTAAATCCTGGCAGCACCTGGATATATACAAGCTGTATTCATTTTGTGTTTTAAAAAGAAAAAACTTTTGTGGATTTTGCTAAACATTTTCTTTCCTTGCCACAGGTGGTGTAAAAATAAAGTCATGTGAAATCTTTGAGATGGTCCCCCTCAGGTAATGATTGTATTGTATCATATTGATTGATATGGACAATAGAGGGACAATAGAAATCTACTCACAACAAAGGTGATTTAAATAGTGTAAATGAGTGGACTGTATCAAAGAAAACTCGGGTGTTTGTTTATTTCACCATCTTTTGTGGCAAGGAAAGAAAATGTTCATCAAAATCCATAAAGTGTTTTAACTCTTTAGAACATAAATTGGATATTACATTAATTATCTAGGTGCTGCCAGGCATTAAAACTTAAAATAACACAGTTTTGTCTGTACTCAGAGAAATTTCATGGTGTAAACACAGACATTTTTGTTAAAGTGTATTGATGAACCTTAAATATTACATGTATTTTACCTACACCTTTGCCCCCTTTTGATTTTTTTTTCCGGGGTCTATATATGTACCATAAAATAAAATTAACAATGTTGAAATTTCAACTAAGATACCAGCCCCAGGATATTTACGTCGGAACATTTTACACATGATTTGGAAAGTAAGTATATTTTTTTTTAATTTATTAATAGTTGTCTGATAGATATTACAATAATTTTGAATATGTATTACAGATAGACTGGAGCCCAGAGAAGAAAAGTACAGTCCTAGACATGGACATGATTTAATTGTAGATGCCTAGATGATGATGTAGGTATTTTGTCATTACAATGGTACTTAAACTGTTAATAGTTGTAAGGTAATAAAATCAGTTTCCCCTGGAGAAACAGCTTGAAAACTTATTACAAATTAGTCCAAAATTTCTTTTTCAAATTTATACTCTAATGAAAAAAGTATACTTGTACTCCAATTTAGGATTTGAATTAAAACATGCATCACATTAATTTCTGAATTAATTTTAACAGCAGGTATTTTGAAAGGAAAAAAAAATTAAAGTAGCAAATTTTTTAAGTTTTATATTTGGTTCAATATTTTTGAACTTATTTTGTTTTTGTTTCAGATACCAGCACCAGGATATTTACGTCAGGACAGGTAACATATGCATCGGAAAGTAAGTATATTTTTTTTTTTCATTTATTAATAGTTGTGTGATAGATATTACAATAATTTTGAATATGTTTTACAGATAGACGGGAGCCAAGAGAGAAGAAGAAAAAATACAGTCCTAGACCTTGAAACGATTTAATTGTAGACGCCTAGATGATGATGTATGTATTTTGTCGTTACAATTGTACTTAAACTGTTAATAGTTGTAAGGTGATAAAATCAGACTTTTCCCTGGAGAAACTGCTTGAAAATTTATTACAAATTAGTCCAAAATTTCTTTTTCAAATTTATACTCTAATGAAAAAAGTATACTTGTACTCCAATTTAGGATTTGAATTAAAACATGCATCACATTAATTTCTGAATTAATTTTAACAGCAAATAGTCTTTTAACATTGACAATTTAGAAACCCTGTCTCTAATAGTCTCACCTGAACGAAAGTAAAGTTTCCGATTGTCAATTTGGATATCTACATATTTAGTTGATTTTTTAAAAAGTAATTTGGAAAATATGACTTGATTTAGATTGTTTGAAATTCAGTTGAATGTTATTCATTTCTGTTCTAAATATATACATCAGATTGTTTTGGTTAGCCACCAACTTCTGATAATTTGACGTGCACATTAATTTCAGAAATAATGATTATATCAATAAACCGTCTTCATTACTGATTGAAATATAGATTTAAAATGAAAATAAGTTAATGATATACAGTCAAAAAGAGCAACTGACCAATGATGATGGCTGCCATTAATGCCAGTTTTTCTTTATAGGTATTTTGAAAGAAAAAAAATTAAAGTAGCAAATTTTTTAAGTTTTATATTTGGTTCAATATTTTTGAACTTATTTTGTTTTTGTTTCAGATACCAGCCCCAGGATATTTACGTCAGGACAGGTAACATATGCATCGGAAAGTAAGTATATTTTTTTTTTCATTCATTAATAGTTGTCTGATAGATATTACAATAATTTTGAATATGTTTTACAGATAGACGGGAGCCAAGAGAGAAGAAGAAAAAAATACAGTCCTAGACATTGAGACGATTTAATTGTAGACGCCTAGATGATGATGTATGTATTTTGTCATTACAATTGTACTTAAACTGTTAATACTTGTAAGGTGATAAAATCAGACTTTTCCCTGGAGAAACTGCTTGAAAATTTATTACAAATTAGTCCAAAATTTCTTTTTCAAATTTATACTCTAATGAAAAAAGTATACTTGTACTCCAATTTAGGATTTGAATTAAAACATGCATCACATTAATTTCTGAATTAATTTTAACAGCAAATAGTCTTTTAACATTGACAATTTGGAAACCCTTTCTCTAATAGTCTCACCTGAACGAAAGTAAAGTTTCCGATTGTCAATTTGGATATCTACATATTTAGTTGATTTTTTAAAAAGTAATTTGGAAAATATGACTTGATTTAGATTGTTTGAAATTCAGTTGAATTTTAATCATTTCTGTTCAAAATGTATACATCAGATTGTTTTGGTTAGCCACCAACTTCTGATAATTTGACGTGCACATTAATTTTCGGAAATAATGATTATATCAATAAACCGTCTTCATTACTGATTGAAATATAGATTTAAAATGAAAATAAGTTAATGATATACAGTCAAAAAGAGCAACTGACCAATGATGATGGCTGCCATTAATGCCAGTTTTTCTTTATAGGTATTTTGAAAGAAAAAAAATTAAAGTAGCAAATTTTTTAAGTTTTATATTTGGTTCAATATTTTTGAACTTATTTTGTTTTTGTTTCAGATACCAGCCCCAGGATATTTACGTCAGGACAGGTAACATATGCATCGGAAAGTAAGTATATTTTTTTTTCATTCATTAATAGTTGTCTGATAGATATTACAATAATTTTGAATATGTTTTACAGATAGACGGGAGCCAAGAGAGAAGAAGAAAAAAATACAGTCCTAGACATTGAGACGATTTAATTGTAGACGCCTAGATGATGATGTATGTATTTTGTCGTTACAATTGTACTTAAACTGTTAATACTTGTAAGGTGATAAAATCAGACTTTTCCCTGGAGAAACTGCTTGCAAATTTATTACAAATTAGTCCAAAATTTCTTTTTCAAATTTATACTCTAATGAAAAAAGTATACTTGTACTCCAATTTAGGATTTGAATTAAAACATGCATCACATAAATTTCTGAATTAATTTTAACAGCAAATAGTCTTTTAACATTGACAATTTGGAAACCCTTTCTCTAATAGTCTCACCTGAACGAAAGTAAAGTTTCCGATTGTCAATTTGGATATCTACATATTTAGTTGATTTTTTAAAAAGTAATTTGGAAAATATGACTTGATTTAGATTGTTTGAAATTCAGTTGAATTTTAATCATTTCTGTTCAAAATGTATACATCAGATTGTTTTGGTTAGCCACCAACTTCTGATAATTCGACGTGCACATTAATTTCGGAAATAATGATTATATCAATAAACCGTCTTCATTACTGATTGAAATATAGATTTAAAATGAAAATAAGTTAATGATATACAGTCAAAAAGAGCAACTGACCAATGAAGATGGCTGCCATTAATGCCAGTTTTTCTTTATAGGTATTTTGAAAGAAAGAAAAATTAAAGTAGCAAATTTTTTAAGTTTTATATTTGGTTCAATATTTTTGAACTTATTTTGTTTTTGTTTCAGATACCAGCCCCAGGATATTTACGTCAGGACAGGTAACATATGCATCGGAAAGTAAGTATATTTTTTTTTCATTTATTAATAGTTGTCTGATAGATATTACAATAATTTTGAATATGTTTTACAGATAGACGGGAGCCAAGAGAGAAGAAGAAAAAAATACAGTCCTAGACATTGAGACGATTTAATTGTAGACGCCTAGATGATGATGTATGTATTTTGTCGTTACAATTGTACTTAAACTGTTAATAGTTGTAAGGTGATAAAATCAGACTTTTCCCTGGAGAAACTGCTTGAAAATTTATTACAAATTAGTCCAAAATTTCTTTTTCAAATTTATACTCTAATGAAAAAAGTATACTTGTACTCCAATTTAGGATTTGAATTAAAACATGCATCACATTAATTTCTGAATTAATTTTAACAGCAAATAGTCTTTTAACATTGACAATTTGGAAACCCTTTCTCTAATAGTCTCACCTGAACGAAAGTAAAGTTTCCAATTGTCAATTTGGATATCTACATATTTAGTTGTTTTTTTAAAAAGTAATTTGGAAAATATGACTTGATTTAGATTGTTTGAAATTCAGTTGAATTTTAATCATTTCTGTTCAAAATGTATACATCAGATTGTTTTGGTTAGCCACCAACTTCTGATAATTTGACGTGCACATTAATTTCGGAAATAATGATTATATCAATAAACCGTCTTCATTACTGATTGAAATATAGATTTAAAATGAAAATAAGTTAATGATATACAGTCAAAAAGAGCAACTGACCAATGATGATGGCTGCCATTAATGCCAGTTTTTCTTTATAGGTATTTTGAAAGAAAAAAAATTAAAGTAGCAAATTTTTTAAGTTTTATATTTGGTTCAATATTTTTGAACTTATTTTGTTTTTGTTTCAGATACCAGCCCCAGGATATTTACGTCAGGACAGGTAACATATGCATCGGAAAGTAAGTATATTTTTTTTTCATTCATTAATAGTTGTCTGATAGATATTACAATAATTTTGAATATGTTTTACAGATAGACGGGAGCCAAGAGAGAAGAAGAAAAAAATACAGTCCTAGACATTGAGACGATTTAATTGTAGACGCCTAGATGATGATGTATGTATTTTGTCGTTACAATTGTACTTAAACTGTTAATACTTGTAAGGTGATAAAATCAGACTTTTCCCTGGAGAAACTGCTTGAAAATTTATTACAAATTAGTCCAAAATTTCTTTTTCAAATTTATACTCTAATGAAAAAAGTATACTTGTACTCCAATTTAGGATTTGAATTAAAACATGCATCACATTAATTTCTGAATTAATTTTAACAGCAAATAGTCTTTTAACATTGACAATTTGGAAACCCTTTCTCTAATAGTCTCACCTGAACGAAAGTAAAGTTTCCGATTGTCAATTTGGATATCTACATATTTAGTTGATTTTTTAAAAAGTAATTTGGAAAATATGACTTGATTTAGATTGTTTGAAATTCAGTTGAATTTTAATCATTTCTGTTCAAAATGTATACATCAGATTGTTTTGGTTAGCCACCAACTTCTGATAATTTGACGTGCACATTAATTTCGGAAATAATGATTATATCAATAAACCGTCTTCATTACTGATTGAAATATAGATTTAAAATGAAAATAAGTTAATGATATACAGTCAAAAAGAGCAACTGACCAATGATGATGGCTGCCATTAATGCCAGTTTTTCTTTATAGGTATTTTGAAAGAAAAAAAATTAAAGTAGCAAATTTTTTAAGTTTTATATTTGGTTCAATATTTTTGAACTTATTTTGTTTTTGTTTCAGATACCAGCCCCAGGATATTTACGTCAGGACAGGTAACATATGCATCGGAAAGTAAGTATATTTTTTTTTCATTCATTAATAGTTGTCTGATAGATATTACAATAATTTTGAATATGTTTTACAGATAGACGGGAGCCAAGAGAGAAGAAGAAAAAAATACAGTCCTAGACATTGAGACGATTTAATTGTAGACGCCTAGATGATGATGTATGTATTTTGTCGTTACAATTGTACTTAAACTGTTAATACTTGTAAGGTGATAAAATCAGACTTTTCCCTGGAGAAACTGCTTGCAAATTTATTACAAATTAGTCCAAAATTTCTTTTTCAAATTTATACTCTAATGAAAAAAGTATACTTGTACTCCAATTTAGGATTTGAATTAAAACATGCATCACATAAATTTCTGAATTAATTTTAACAGCAAATAGTCTTTTAACATTGACAATTTGGAAACCCTTTCTCTAATAGTCTCACCTGAACGAAAGTAAAGTTTCCGATTGTCAATTTGGATATCTACATATTTAGTTGATTTTTTAAAAAGTAATTTGGAAAATATGACTTGATTTAGATTGTTTGAAATTCAGTTGAATTTTAATCATTTCTGTTCAAAATGTATACATCAGATTGTTTTGGTTAGCCACCAACTTCTGATAATTTGACGTGCACATTAATTTCGGAAATAATGATTATATCAATAAACCGTCTTCATTACTGATTGAAATATAGATTTAAAATGAAAATAAGTTAATGATATACAGTCAAAAAGAGCAACTGACCAATGATGATGGCTGCCATTAATGCCAGTTTTTCTTTATAGGTATTTTGAAAGAAAAAAAATTAAAGTAGCAAATTTTTTAAGTTTTATATTTGGTTCAATATTTTTGAACTTATTTTGTTTTTGTTTCAGATACCAGCCCCAGGATATTTACGTCAGGACAGGTAACATATGCATCGGAAAGTAAGTATATTTTTTTTTCATTCATTAATAGTTGTCTGATAGATATTACAATAATTTTGAATATGTTTTACAGATAGACGGGAGCCAAGAGAGAAGAAGAAAAAAATACAGTCCTAGACATTGAGACGATTTAATTGTAGACGCCTAGATGATGATGTATGTATTTTGTCGTTACAATTGTACTTAAACTGTTAATACTTGTAAGGTGATAAAATCAGACTTTTCCCTGGAGAAACTGCTTGCAAATTTATTACAAATTAGTCCAAAATTTCTTTTTCAAATTTATACTCTAATGAAAAAAGTATACTTGTACTCCAATTTAGGATTTGAATTAAAACATGCATCACATAAATTTCTGAATTAATTTTAACAGCAAATAGTCTTTTAACATTGACAATTTGGAAACCCTTTCTCTAATAGTCTCACCTGAACGAAAGTAAAGTTTCCGATTGTCAATTTGGATATCTACATATTTAGTTGATTTTTTAAAAAGTAATTTGGAAAATATGACTTGATTTAGATTGTTTGAAATTCAGTTGAATTTTAATCATTTCTGTTCAAAATGTATACATCAGATTGTTTTGGTTAGCCACCAACTTCTGATAATTCGACGTGCACATTAATTTCGGAAATAATGATTATATCAATAAACCGTCTTCATTACTGATTGAAATATAGATTTAAAATGAAAATAAGTTAATGATATACAGTCAAAAAGAGCAACTGACCAATGAAGATGGCTGCCATTAATGCCAGTTTTTCTTTATAGGTATTTTGAAAGAAAGAAAAATTAAAGTAGCAAATTTTTTAAGTTTTATATTTGGTTCAATATTTTTGAACTTATTTTGTTTTTGTTTCAGATACCAGCCCCAGGATATTTACGTCAGGACAGGTAACATATGCATCGGAAAGTAAGTATATTTTTTTTTCATTTATTAATAGTTGTCTGATAGATATTACAATAATTTTGAATATGTTTTACAGATAGACGGGAGCCAAGAGAGAAGAAGAAAAAAATACAGTCCTAGACATTGAGACGATTTAATTGTAGACGCCTAGATGATGATGTATGTATTTTGTCGTTACAATTGTACTTAAACTGTTAATAGTTGTAAGGTGATAAAATCAGACTTTTCCCTGGAGAAACTGCTTGAAAATTTATTACAAATTAGTCCAAAATTTCTTTTTCAAATTTATACTCTAATGAAAAAAGTATACTTGTACTCCAATTTAGGATTTGAATTAAAACATGCATCACATTAATTTCTGAATTAATTTTAACAGCAAATAGTCTTTTAACATTGACAATTTGGAAACCCTTTCTCTAATAGTCTCACCTGAACGAAAGTAAAGTTTCCAATTGTCAATTTGGATATCTACATATTTAGTTGTTTTTTTAAAAAGTAATTTGGAAAATATGACTTGATTTAGATTGTTTGAAATTCAGTTGAATTTTAATCATTTCTGTTCAAAATGTATACATCAGATTGTTTTGGTTAGCCACCAACTTCTGATAATTTGACGTGCACATTAATTTCGGAAATAATGATTATATCAATAAACCGTCTTCATTACTGATTGAAATATAGATTTAAAATGAAAATAAGTTAATGATATACAGTCAAAAAGAGCAATTGACCAATGATGATGGCTGCCATTAATGCCAGTTTTTCTTTATAGGTATTTTGAAAGAAAGAAAAATTAAAGTAGCAAATTTTTTAAGTTTTATATTTGGTTCAATATTTTTGAACTTATTTTGTTTTTGTTTCAGATACCAGCCCCAGGATATTTACGTCAGGACAGGTAACATATGCATCGGAAAGTAAGTATATTTTTTTTTCATTTATTAATAGTTGTCTGATAGATATTACAATAATTTTGAATATGTTTTACAGATAGACGGGAGCCAAGAAAGAAGAAGAAAAAAATACAGTCCTAGACATTGAGACGATTTAATTGTAGACACCTAGATGATGATGTATGTATTTTGTCGTTACAATTGTACTTAAACTGTTAATAGTTGTAAGGTGATAAAATCAGACTTTTCCCTGGAGAAACTGCTTGAAAATTTATTACAAATTAGTCCAAAATTTCTTTTTCAAATTTATACTCTAATGAAAAAAGTATACTTGTACTCCAATTTAGGATTTGAATTAAAACATGCATCACATTAATTTCTGAATTAATTTTAACAGCAAATAGTCTTTTAACATTGACAATTTGGAAACCCTTTCTCTAATAGTCTCACCTGAACGAAAGTAAAGTTTCCGATTGTCAATTTGGATATCTACATATTTAGTTGATTTTTTAAAAAGTAATTTGGAAAATATGACTTGATTTAGATTGTTTGAAATTCAGTTGAATTTTAATCATTTCTGTTCAAAATGTATACATCAGATTGTTTTGGTTAGCCACCAACTTCTGATAATTTGACGTGCACATTAATTTCGGAAATAATGATTATATCAATAAACCGTCTTCATTACTGATTGAAATATAGATTTAAAATGAAAATAAGTTAATGATATACAGTCAAAAAGAGCAATTGACCAATGATGATGGCTGCCATTAATGCCAGTTTTTCTTTATAGGTATTTTGAAAGAAAAAAAAATTAAAGTAGCAAATTTTTTAAGTTTTATATTTGGTTCAATATTTTTGAACTTATTTTGTTTTTGTTTCAGATACCAGCCCCAGGATATTTTCGTCAGGACAGGTAACATATGCATCGGAAAGTAAGTATATTTTTTTTTCATTTATTAATAGTTGTCTGATAGATATTACAATAATTTTGAATATGTTTTACAGATAAACGGGTGCCAAGAAAGAAGAAGAAAAAAATACAGTCCTAGACATTGAGACGATTTAATTGTAGACACCTAGATGATGATGTATGTATTTTGTCATTACAATTGTACTTAAACTGTTAATAGTTGTAAGGTAATAAAATCAGACTTTTCCCTGGAGAAACTGCTTCAAAATTTATTACAAATTAGTCCAAAATTTCTTTTTCAAATTTATACTCTAATGAAAAAAGTATACTTGTACTCCAATTTAGGATTTGAATTAAAACATGCATCACATTAATTTCTGAATTAATTTTAACAGCAAATAGTCTTTTAACATTGACAATTTGGAAACCCTTTCTCTAATAGTCTCACCTGAACGAAAGTAAAGTTTCCGATTGTCAATTTGGATATCTACATATTTAGTTGATTTTTTAAAAAGTAATTTGGAAAATATGACTTGATTTAGATTTTTTGAAATTCAGTTGAATTTTAATCATTTCTGTTCAAAATGTATACATCAGATTGTTTTGGTTAGCCACCAACTTCTGATAATTTGACGTGCACATTAATTTCGGAAATAATGATTATATCAATAAACCGTCTTCATTACTGATTGAAATATAGATTTAAAATGAAAATAAGTTAATGATATACAGTCAAAAAGAGCAATTGACCAATGATGATGGCTGCCATTAATGCCAGTTTTTCTTTATAGGTATTTTGAAAGAAAAAAAAATTAAAGTAGCAAATTTTTTAAGTTTTATATTTGGTTCAATATTTTTGAACTTATTTTGTTTTTGTTTCAGATACCAGCCCCAGGATATTTTCGTCAGGACAGGTAACATATGCATCGGAAAGTAAGTATATTTTTTTTTCATTTATTAATAGTTGTCTGATAGATATTACAATAATTTTGAATATGTTTTACAGATAGACGGGAGCCAAGAGAGAAGAAGAAAAAAATACAGTCCTAGACATTGAGACGATTTAATTGTAGACGCCTAGATGATGATGTATGTATTTTGTCGTTACAATTGTACTTAAACTGTTAATAGTTGTAAGGTGATAAAATCAGACTTTTCCCTGGAGAAACTGCTTGAAAATTTATTACAAATTAGTCCAAAATTTCTTTTTCAAATTTATACTCTAATGAAAAAGTATACTTGTACTCCAATTTAGGATTTGAATTAAAACATGCATCACATTAATTTCTGAATTAATTTTTACAGCAAATAGTCTTTTAACATTGACAATTTGGAAACCCTTTCTCTAATAGTCTCACCTGAACGAAAGTAAAGTTTCCGATTGTCAATTTGGATATCTACATATTTAGTTGATTTTTTAAAAAGTAATTTGGAAAATATGACTTGATTTAGATTGTTTGAAATTCAGTTGAATTTTAATCATTTCTGTTCAAAATGTATACATCAGATTGTTTTGGTTAGCCACCAACTTCTGATAATTTGACGTGCACATTAATTTCGGAAATAATGATTATATCAATAAACCGTCTTCATTACTGATTGAAATATAGATTTAAAATGAAAATAAGTTAATGATATACAGTCAAAAAGAGCAATTGACCAATGATGATGGCTGCCATTAATGCCAGTTTTTCTTTATAGGTATTTTGAAAGAAAAAAAAATTAAAGTAGCAAATTTTTTAAGTTTTATATTTGGTTCAATATTTTTGAACTTATTTTGTTTTTGTTTCAGATACCAGCCCCAGGATATTTACGTCAGGACAGGTAACATATGCATCGGAAAGTAAGTATATTTTTTTTTTCATTTATTAATAGTTGTCTGATAGATATTACAATAATTTTGAATATGTTTTACAGATAGACGGGAGCCAAGAGAGAAGAAGAAAAAAATACAGTCCTAGACATTGAGACGATTTAATTGTAGACGCCTAGATGATGATGTATGTATTTTGTCGTTACAATTGTACTTAAACTGTTAATAGTTGTAAGGTGATAAAATCAGACTTTTCCCTGGAGAAACTGCTTGAAAATTTATTACAAATTAGTCCAAAATTTCTTTTTCAAATTTATACTCTAATGAAAAAGTATACTTGTACTCCAATTTAGGATTTGAATTAAAACATGCATCACATTAATTTCTGAATTAATTTTTACAGCAAATAGTCTTTTAACATTGACAATTTGGAAACCCTTTCTCTAATAGTCTCACCTGAACGAAAGTAAAGTTTCCGATTGTCAATTTGGATATCTACATATTTAGTTGATTTGTTAAAAAGTAATTTGGAAAATGTGACTTGATTTAGATTGTTTGAAATTCAGTTGAATTTTAATCATTTCTGTTCAAAATGTATACATCAGATTGTTTTGGTTAGCCACCAACTTCTG